CCTCCTCTGGAGAGGTACCCTTAAAACCAGTCTAGAAGCTAGACCAAGGATCAGCAGGCCCAAATACATCTGGCATTTCTAGTGTTCCACCAGGACAGGGCCAAGGACATTTTAAGCTTAGGGCCTAGGACACAATCAAGGCCTCTATCCCTAAACTGCTTGTCCATTCTATCTCCTGTCTTCATGACTAGCATAGAAACCCTCTGATCTACCCTTATTACTCAACAAAGACTCCAACAGCTACTGGGTAGGTCCTGTCTTAGGTGCTGGGAGACACCTGTTAAGAAAGATCCAAGGTCATCCTTAGCTACATGGTGAATTGAGGCCAACCTGGGCTATACAAATTCCTATCCAAAAACACAAAACTGGGAGCTAAGTGTGCTGGGACACGTCTTTAATCTGTGAGTTTGAAGCCAGCCTAGTCCACAGCGTGAGTTTCAGACCAGATAAGGCTACATAGTGAGACCCTGCCTCAAACAAAACAAAACAGAACAAAACACAGCTGGGAGGCTGAGGTCAGAGGATCAGGATTCTTGGTTACATAGTGAGTTTGAGGCCAACCTGGGCTACATGAAACCCTGCCTCAAAAAATAAACAGCCAGGTATGATGGCACACAGCTTTAATCCCAGCATTGGGAAGGGAGAGGCAGGCAGATTTCTGTGAGTTCCAGGCCAGCCTGGTCTACATAGTAAGTTCCAGGCTAGCCAGGGCTACACAGGGAGATATTGTCAAAAAACAAAAAACAGTGATGGATTCACATTTCAGTACTGACTTCAAGCTTGGCCTGAGATGCTGGTTTTCCTTTTTCTGGACTTCACTACGCAGACTAGGCTGGCCTCAAATTTAAAGAGTTCCACCTGCCTCTGCTTCCAGAATGCAAGTGCTGGGATTAAAGGAGTGTGTCCCTACGTCCTCCCTCTTCTTTCTTTCTTTGTTTTGTTTTGGTTTTTTCTTTGTTTGTTTGTTTTGGTTGAGACAGAGTCTCTTGTGGACTGGACAGGCCTTGGGCCTTGATGATCTTAAACCCTTGAACTCTTGAACTCCTAATCTTCCTGCCTCCACTTCCCAAGTGCTAGGAGTACAGGTATGTACCATCACACCCAGCTATATTTATTTATTTATTTATTTATTTATTTATTTATTTATTTATTTACTGGAGATTGAACCCAGGACTGTCTGAATGCCAGGCAAGCACTCTACCACTGAGCTAGATCCCCAACTAATATCTGCACAAGAGTATATTTTTCAAGACACTGGACATTTGAGCAAAGAAGGAGAGTCGGTGGGTGGAGGGCAGCGGAGGGTAGAGTCCTTGGGGGCTGGGGGGCTGGTTAAGGATGGTAGTAGGAGATTTCGCTAGAGAACCTATGGGGCCATTCACTCCAGTTCTTCCAGGGCGCAGACATCCTTAGGCAGTTTTGAGATACAGGCTGACAAGGTCAAAAGGATCCTGTGGAGCTGCATGAGGCACCCATAATCCTGGCACTAGGGCTGCCTTGAGTTTGGGGACAGCTGGGGCTTCACATGCAAGATCAAAAACCAGCAGGGAGCAGAGAAACCAGTCTGAGGCTGTTGTAGCTATCCAGGTGAACAAAGGCAGTTGTGCATGGGGCCTCTAAGGTTGCCAAGTGAGGCCCAGCAGGGCAGGGACACTTGGAAACACATGGCAACTCCCACTCTCAGTCATCAACTGACCCTTAGGGGCCAGAGGCAACTGGGACACCGGGATAGCCCTGGTTTGCTGTTGGTATTACTGCTGGGTTTTTTGTTTTGTTTGCTTTTCTTGGTCTGTTTGAGACAGAGTCTCCCTGTAGCCATAGCTGGCCTGGAACTCGATTTGGAGAACAGGTTGTCCTCAATCTCACAGAGATCTGCTCACCTCTGCCTCCCAAATGCGGGGATTAAAAGTGTGTGCCACCATGCCTGGCTTTTTTGTGCCCCCATGCCTGGCTTTTTTTTTTTTTTTTTCTTTTCAATGGTTTTTTGTTTTGTTTTGTTCCAGGCTGGCCTGAAACTCGCTATGTGGTGCAGGCTGGCCCCAAATTTGTGTCCATCCTGCCTCAGCCTCCTGTGTACTGGTATCACAGGCCTGAAGCCACAGTTTTGAGGAAGTCACAAGCAAGAGATGAAGTGGGAACCTGCTGCTCATGCTGGAGCTTCACTTTCTTCCCGACTCCGAGGGGCCTGGTGAGGACTGAGGATGATGTGTGGCTTCCAGTGACTAGCCAGGAGTCAGTAACCACTCATCTGCAAGTTGGACAGGAGCTGTGCCGCCCACACGAGGCAGCTGGGCTGAGACCCATAATGAAGAAGCTTGCACGCCACTTGGATTTGTCATCTGAGGCATTGGCTGCGCCTGTGTGCTGTACATACACATCCCTGAACAGCCAGGGACCAAGACTGGGGACAGGGCTGCTCTTGGACAGTGGAGACCCCTAGGGAGTTGAGAGGAGAGTCTTCAAGCAGGCTAGGGCAGACCTGTAGTCTGTATGCAGTTACCATTTTGATATTTAGGAAGGATGCACATTCAACCTTCTGATTCTTTGCTACTTAGTAGGATAAACCCTACATTTTTGAGTATGCTGCCACCAAGTGCTGGTTGATGCCTTTGTTATGGACATGTGATCCAAAAAAATAACACCTGCATCATGTCTTACTAGAGAGAGAAACAGGTTTTCTCTCTTCTCATTAAAATTGTTTCTAATTTATTACTGGATTGGGCAGTGCTGGTGATTGAACACAGCCTGATTGTCAGGACTCTGCCACTGTGCTAGCCTATTTCTAGACCCTGTAACTATTTTTTAAAAAATATTTTATTATTTTTATTTTATGTGTATGAGTGTTATGCCTGCATGTAGGTAAGTACACCCGTGTCGTGCAATGCCCTCGGAGGACAGAAGAGGCTGTCGGATCCCCTGGAACTAGAGTTACAGACAGTTGTTAGCTGCCATGTGGGTGCTGGGATTCAAACCTGGGTCTTCTGCAAGAACAGTGTTCTTAACCACTAAGCTATCTCTCCAGCCCCTAGACCTTGTAACTTTAAACCACCTAATATGAACATTGCAGTTTTACAAAGAATCAAATAGAAAATTTGTCTAGAGTGAGCTTAAAAATAAATATTTATGTGTGAGTGACCTGATGTTAGAGAAAGGCGTTGGATCCCCTGGAGCTAGAGTGGTAGGCAGTTGTGAGCCTCCTAACATGATTTTTGGGAACCAAACTCGGCTCCTGAAGAGGCAAGAGCTCTTAACTACTAAACCATCACTCCAATCCCTGTTTTGTGTTTTGAGACAAAGTTTTAAATACCTAGGGTAGCTTTGAACTCACTATGTACCTGAGGATGATCTTGAACTCCAGATTCCATCTCTTTATCCAGAGTGCTGGGATTAGAGGTGTGTGCTACTACTGACTTCGCTGTCAGAATCTGGGTATTTTAATTTCATGATTTTTCTTGTGGAATACACACACACACACACACACACACACACATACACACAGTCACAGTTAAATATAAGTACAGTTCTATATAGGTCATTTCTGGTTCTCTAGGGTATTTCCCCGAAGCTATGAGAACTCCTTTTTTTCTTTTCCATGAAGCAAAGGAAAAGGTAGCCCGGGACAGACTCTTACCCTGGTCTTTTTTTTTTTTTCATTATTCTTTTGTAGTTTCATACATGAATATGGTGTATGCTCACCAGGTCTTTCAAACCCACTTCAGGGCTGGGGAAGCACTCAGTGGTGGAGCACTTGCTTAGCATGCATGAGACCCTGGGTTCGATCCACAGTAGCATGTAACACACATGTGGTGATGCACACTTGTACCCCCACATTGGGGAAGTGAAGGCAGGAGAATCAGGAGTCTGAGGCCAGCCTCAGCTACATGAGATCCTGTCTCAAAAACAAAAAGAAAGGACAGCGCATGGGCATGGTGGTACTTGGGAGGTGGAAGCAGGAGGATCAGGAGTTCAAGGTCATCTTCAGATACACAGACAGTTTGAGACCAGCCTTATCTTCATTAGATTGTTTCAACAAATCTAAAAGAAAAGGGGGAGGGAGAGAAGAGACTAATTCTGGCCCGTGAGAAGGCTCAGTGGGTAAAAGCACTTGCTGTGAAAACCTAAGGATCTGAGATCCACCTAATGGTAGAAAGAGAAAACCAACTCCACAAAGCTGTCCTCTGACCTCCAGACCACTGGAGGCGCCCCCATATATAATAGTAATAATAAAATATTTTTAAAAGAAATTAACTCTTGGGCCAAGTCATTTATTCAGCACTTACTGAACATTTACTATATGGGACTAAGCACCATTTACTACATGGGACTAAGCTTCAGTTCTATCTCCCACAACAGTTGGAACTGTGCTTCTTAACCTGAGACCATAGCATCTAAGATGAGGCAATCCTTTGTGCAAATCTGTTTCCCTGCATTGCGGGGTGTTCGGACCTCTAAGAGACTAGGGTGTCATTGGACCGACCTAAAGGACCCCCCCCCCCCGCCTCACATCCACACCCACACCTCCCACGCCCCTCCCTCCAACACTCACACACACCGCCCGCATATTTCGAACCAGCCCCTAGGGGAGCATTATCGCCCTCGAGGAGAGGCTCTGGCACATTTCCAACAGGAGTGTGGGGGGGGTGTCAACCCATTCTCCATTCCTGGCAGATGCGGTGATGCAAGGCTCACGATGCCCAAGAGCAGGGCCATAATTCCGGCTTCCGGATGATTCATCAGCCCCAATGGGCATCTTGGTTCCAACTGCTCGATCAGAGCCCTTTCGCGAGTACTCCCTACCCAGACAGGATACAGATCCCGAACTTCAGCTTACGGTCCGGGATCAGAGCCTTGGGTGTCGGGAGGAAGGAATACTTTATCTCCATCTCCGAACCCTCAGCCGGCGGGAAGCGAAGGGTTAACACCGTGGGCTGCGCACCTGCCGCCCGCACCGCTAGGGGGCGCCGCCGACCCACCTCCTGGAGATCACGTGACTGGAGGGGCGGGACTTAGCGCCAGACTGACCAATAGGAACAAGGAGTGGAGTCCCGGGACTAGAAGAAACGGAGGCCGGGAGGGGTCTCCGGGACCATGGGGCTTCTGACCATTCTGAAGAAGATGAAGCAGAAAGAGCGGGAGCTGCGGCTGCTCATGCTGTATCCTTCCGGACGGTGTCGAGGGTAGTGGGGCTCAGCCGGGTGGGCGGAGCCGGGCATGGGGGCGCGGCCCGTACCCTCTGCCCGCGGGGCGTCACGCACGCGGCCCTGCCACTCCTCCGCGCCGGGGCCAGAGAGGGCTGTACCACTCCCGGAGCAGCCCCAGGCGGGGGATGCTGGTGCTCAGTGGGCCTCTAGGCCCACGCCTGGCCGGGTGTCCAGTGTTACGGGGAGGCGGGACGCGCGTCACCGTCCGTCGGGCTGGGCCAGGCCCACCCCGCTCCTCCCCGGCTCTGACCTGGGCCCCGGCTGCACCCTTGGGTTCGGCCCGCCGGGTGGGCGTGGACTCTGTTGGCCACGGGTCCAACTCTCACACAGCCCCCTCGGCCCCTCCCCACCGACCCGCCCGAATGTTTATTGGCACCTGCTCTCCCACCCCCATCCCCCACCCCCATTTGCATTGTGCCGGGCCCCCTGAACTTCTGTCATCCTGGAACCGGCAAGGACGAGTAGGGGACATTAATGTGCACTTAAAACTCATGTCTTTCTCTAAGAAAAGTCCTGAAGCCTGGCGTGGTGGCGCACGCCTGTAGTCCCAGCATTTGGGAGGCAGCGGCAGGCGGATCTCTGTGAGTTCAAGGCCAGCCTGGTCCACATAGTGAGTTCCAGGACAGCTGGGGCTACAGGGAGACCCTGCTTCGACAAAAAAAAAAAAAAAAAAAAAAAAAGTCCCGAGGAAGAGCAATTCATTCGATAAGTATTTATTGAACACCTATTATATGTTAGGGGGCAGAAGTAAAACAGCAAAAGGAAAAAGGCTGTATTATGGATATGTTAAGGAGAGAAAAATGAGAAAGTAAATAAGTAAAATAGTGTGGGTGGAGAAGAATGCAGTTCAGGGTGGTTAATGAAGGACATGTTAAGAAAGTATCTGTTAGGTTAAGACTTTTGAAAGGTAGGGAGGAACCCAGTAGATGTCTTCGGGGAACATAGGCGAAGGCCCCGGGGGAGGACATAACTGGGGTGTTCACTGGAAAGTTTAGGAGTGCAGAGGGGCTGGAGGGAGGGAGGAGAGCCCGTGAGCTGGGTGCAGTTAGGCAGTTGAATTAATGGAAGGAGACAAGACGGTGGTGTGGAACAGGTTGGAAGTAGTGAGACAAGACGGTGGTGTGGAACAGGTTGGAAGTAGTGAGGTCATTAAGTAGGGGGGCATTGTTACTGTGGTGGTTGAGGGAATTGCTGTGAAGTGGAGTGAGTGTGAGGGAAGAGGCAAAGCCAAGCCTGACTCCTGGGTTTCTACCAGAGTATTCAGAAGTATTAGCCACTTGCTAAGGTAGAGGAGGCTGGTCTAGGGGATGACCAAATTCCTGAAAGACACTGACCCTGAACTCCTTGGCCAAGTGAGGGGCAGGTGAGTGGCTGCCATCAGCATAGAAATGATCCTGGGATGACCCACCTCGGGGGTGGTGAGACCCAGGTGTCCAGAAACTTGTGTGAAGTCAGATGAGGAATACAGGGAACGGGGAGAGGACCGAGTAAGTGTGGCAGTGCCACTGGCCATGGGAGAGCAGTGGGAAGGCCTTTGGGGACCCACCTAGCAAGAGCAGGCTTGGGAAGCATCAGGAGCTCCAGGCTGATGAGTGGGTTAAGACAGAGCAGGAAAGCGGGGCGTGGTGGTGCATGCCTTTAATCCCAGGAGTCGGGAAGCAGCAGGAGGAAGAGGCCAGCCTGGTCCACATGGACAGTTCCACACCAGACAGTGAGGTTCTCTCTCTCTCTCTCTCTCTCTCTCTCTCACACACACACACACACACACACACACACACAGTAAATGCAGGAAGATGACGTTGGTGCAGTTGAGAGTGAACACCTACGCGTTCCTGGGAGGCGCAGTCAAGGGAAGATATGAATGTATCACTAGATGGGGCCTTGGATGGAGAGGATGATATCTATCGCTGCATCTGGGTAGGAGGAACAGCAGTGAGTTGATTATCAGCTAGTAGGGAGGATCCGAGGGGAAAGGAAGTATGGATGGTGTTGGAAGGGACAGGATAACCAGTAGCCGACTTTCTGAGCCTAAGACATGATGGGCTGCAGGAGAGACACTTTTGGTCCCTCTCACAGACAGGAGTCACTGTGCCTGGCTCAGGAGCAGGAAGAAGCCTTCACTGCAGAGCCTGCCTCTTCCTCTCATCCCCCATCAGAATTTGGCTGCCCCAAGTATTGGAAGGAGAGGAGGTGGTTCTTACCTGCTCGTTTATTTTCTCTGCAGCAGAGGCTGTGGATCACTCCAGAAACATGCAGTTGCCACCTCTAGATAATTTGTTCTTCTCTTAGTCTTTCAAAAAGTTGGGCCCATGTATTTCTGGCTTCAAGACCCCACAGAACCTTCTCTGGCACAAGCTGAAAGCCACGCCTCCCTTCCTCCCACCCCCAATGACCCTCTAGGGGTGTGTGTGTGTGTGTGTGTGAGAGAGAGAGAGAGACACACACACACACACACACACACACACACACTCATTGGGGTCTGGGATCCAAGGTACCTAACTTTACATTTTATTTAGTCTATTAGTGTGTAAGCTTCATAAGGGCAGGGACTTTGTTCACTAGCTCCAGGAGGCCTGGCACATAGTAGGCATTCAATTAATATTTGTTGTTGCATAAATAAAGTTGCTTTGGTTGACAGAGATGATAAAATTCTATTTGATACTTCTGTGTTTATCCCAAGCCAATTATGGTTAGGCATGTGCTTGACTCATTTCAGTACACAGTAGGAAACCACTAGTCCCTAAGAGAGTGGCACTGTGGTGACATGACCTCCAACAGTTCAGGGATTTCTCCTTAACCTCTGTGCCCCAGTGGCCTGGACAATGCCGGTAAAACAACCATCCTAAAGAAGTTCAATGGAGAAGATGTAGATACCATCTCCCCCACGCTAGGCTTCAACATCAAGACCTTGGAGCACCGAGGGTGAGCAGGGTGGCTGAGGAGCACTGTAGGGCTGGGGAAGGCTGGGGACACAGGGCCAGCACGACCCTCATCACTTCCTTCCTGCCTAGATTTAAACTGAACATCTGGGATGTGGGTGGCCAGAAGTCCCTGCGCTCCTACTGGAGGAACTACTTTGAGAGCACCGATGGCCTCATCTGGGTGGTGGACAGCGCCGACCGCCAGCGCATGCAGGACTGCCAGCGGGAACTGCAGAGTCTGCTGGTGGAGGAGGTGTGCCCCAGCTTCTACCTGCCACCAGGCCAGACACTGGGGGAGGGGCCATTCCTTCACTGGACCACATTGCTGTGGGCAGGGAGCGAGCTTGGACTGAGGCCTGGACTCATGTCCAGTGGGTTTACCAAGTCACCACCCTGAGTTTCACTCCCAACACTGTAGGTGCTGTGTCCAGGCTAGGCAAGGACAAAGCTCAGGGAGGCCATGGAGCTTGTGCAGGGCTATGAGTGCTGCATAGGCTGAGCCTCCACTTCCTCATCCCTGAGATGAGATGGTAGACTAATATTGTCATTTGTTGTCTGGGCCAAAGCACCCTTTATTGTTGTTTTTGAGACAAGGTCTCTCTACCTCAGGCTGGTCTTCAGGCTGGCTGTGTATGTAGCTGAGGTTGGCCTTGAGCTCCTGATCCTCCTGCCTCTGCTTCTCAAATATTGGGATAACAGATGTGTGCCACCACACTTGGCTTCTTCTTCATTAAATATTTGGGTTTTTTTTAGACCAGGTTTCCCTGTGTAACCCAGGTTAGCCTCAAACTGACTCCACCTTCCTCAGCCTCCTGAGTGCTGGGATTACAGTTTGGTGCTATTTACCCCCAGCTCAGAAATTACCATTATCTTAGCTACATATATATATTTTTAGCTACAAATGTTAATGTGGATTTCACCAGTTTCTCTTCTAATGTGCTTCCTGTTCCAGGGCGAGTCAGGTTGCCACACTGTAGTTAGCTGAAGATCAGGCCACCTTTGAAGGAAGGAGAGCAGGAACCGCTGGCAGACATGGAACTGTGCTGTGCACAGACACGCAGACAAGTGCTATGGGTGTGACTGCAAGTCTAGAGAAGTTACTGTCAGCAGAGGCTAAACCCAGGCCCAGCAGGTTGGGGGTGGTGGCTGGCTGCTAGATCCCTTTATGCACGTGGAGGAGTCTCAGTTGCAAACCCCCTGCAGGATTAAATGGAGGCAGAGGCCAACAGGCGACCTGCTGGGAGCGCAACCATTTAAGGGCTCTGTGAACTTGGAGCAGGGGAAAGAACCATATCGGGCAGGTCCCAAGACAGCCCCAGCAGATGTCAGGGCATGAGCTCTGAGCAGGCTGGAACTACAAAGGGCTCAGGGATCATCTTGTCTAATACCACCTCCCTGATTATGGATGAGGAAAATGACCCATGGAAGGGAGAGATGCCCACTGGGTGGTAGCCAGCTAGAACCTGAACCCAGGCGGGGCTAGCATCAGGGACTCTCTGTCCATTCTGCCTATCCCCACTTGGGCCTCTTCCACCACCACAGGGCCCTGCCTTGGCCCTGCATGCTGCCTACTGATCCCAGATGCTCTGCCTAGTAGAGGATGGGTTCAGGCTGTCCTCCGAGCCCCACCCCACCCCTCATCGTCTTCTCTCCCCAGCGCCTAGCAGGAGCGACGCTCCTCATCTTTGCCAACAAGCAGGACCTGCCCGGAGCTCTGTCCTCTAGTGCCATTCAGGAGGTGAGTGAGGCAGGGAAAGGGAAGGGCTTTAGTGTTTTCATTTATACTTATGTGTTTGCTTGTTTAATATACTTTTGGTTTTTTGAGACAGGGTTTCAGGTAGCCCTGGCTGGCCTCAAACTTACTGTGTAGCTGAGGATGACTTTGAACTCTTGATTCACCTGCCTTCGCCTCCTGAGTGCTGAGATTACAGGTTTGCACCACCATGCCCAGTTAATGCAGTGCTTGGGATTGGACTCATGGCTTTCTGCATAGCCCAGCCTGGTCTTAGACTCACAACTGTCTTTCTGTCTTTGCCTCTCAAGTGCTGGAGTTTCAGGCTGGCATCACCATCCCTGTCTATAATTTATTTTAAAAGCACTTAGTAACTCCTGTAGTATGCCAAGACCTATGCAGGGCACTGGATATTGGTGATTGATAAGGAGTGACCCACAGCCTGGGAGAAGGCGGACCTGGACACAGATCATCCACAGGGTCCCAGCTGCCAGCCTACAGAGCACGCTCTCCTCTGCAGCATTCTTTGCACACATCTGTTCATTTCAGTTTTTTTTTTTAAGTTTTTAAAATATATTTTTTTATTTTATGTGTATGAGTGTATTGCCTGCATGTGAGTGCACCCGTGTCGTGCAATGCCA